TTCGATCACGAGCACCACACCACTATCGTGGCTACCCGGCACTACCGTCCACCAGAAGTGATTCTGGGTGAGTAACTGCTGGCATTTCGGGGGTCTTGGGTGGGCGGAGTTGTCCCAGGATGACGCTGTCTAGAGGAAAACCAGGTTGAGTGCACTCCAGTTCTTGGGGACAGCCTGTTCCGTGCATTGCTGCATCACCAGGGTCCTGAATGATTCATTCTCAGCCTGTGAAACTCAAGAAGTGTTCAAATTCCAAGGGAATTTGGAGTCAGCATAAGCTGAAGCAGAAGCATCTGGGGGAGACTTGACAGTACTCTCTGCCAGCGTGCAGCACTGGAAAGTGCACAGATAACTTCTAGGTCTGTCTTCGTGTAACCCCTGCAGTTTCAGCAAGGAACAAGTAGAAATCTGGTGGGACTCGGGGAGAGCGCAAAGTTAACTTGATTCTCTTTGCAGAGCTGGGCTGGGCACAGCCATGTGATGTCTGGAGTACCGGCTGCATTCTCTTCGAATATTATCGTGGCTTCACGCTCTTCCAGGTACGATTCTTGTAAGAGGATCCTTCGTTTCTAAAAAGGCTCAGACTCGGGTGAAGGGAAATGCAGATCAGGCACTAAAAAAATCAGAAGCTGGATTTGAAAATAAGCCCAGGAAGATTCACAGTTTGAGGACTTGTGCCTTGTTTGGAAGGACAAGGTTCAGATCATTTCTGGTTTCTTTGCTGTGTCTGTGAAGAAAAGAAAAATCAGGAGTGGAAGCAGAGGCGGACAGGAGCTGCACCATTCCAGATGGGGGCTTGTCTCTTTTTCCCCTGTAGCTGTGCAGGGGACAGACCTTTTGTCATCAGATCAGAGTTCAGATTTCATGCCCCACTGCTCTTTTCCTTTGCAGACCCACGAGAATCGTGAGCATCTTGTCATGATGGAAAAAATCCTTGGGCCAATTCCATCTCACATGATCCACAAAACTCGGTAAGAACCTTTTCCTCAACTCAGTCCGATTTTTGTGGCCGATGACAATACCGATTCTGTCCTCACACTGGGCCTTTAGCTGTATGGGTATAAACTCGAGAGACACACTAGAAGCGTGTCCCATGAGCAGCCTCACTGAAGCACCGCCTTTTCTCCCCAGGAAACAAAAGTATTTCCACAATGGGAACCTGGTCTGGGATGAGAACACATCTGACGGGAGATATGTCCAAGAAAACTGCAAGCCCCTGCGGGTAGGTGCTGCTCTGGGGCTGGTGGAGGGCCGGCTGTGTTGCAAGGCTGAACTGTGGTTCCGTTCCCTTCCCCAGAGCAGCGGTGCAGGGCTTAGGGATGGGAATTTCCCTTAGTGAACTGGCTTTTACGCAGCCCCAAGCTCTCATCTGCAGAAACAGAAGTTTATTGGCGTGGCCAAAGCAGGAGACAACTGGGGAATTTGGAGATGGCCACCATTAGGGTTCAATCCCTGTTCTGCCAGAGTGCTGCACCCCTCCCTCTGTTTCCTCACCGCCCCTCTCTTTCAGACGTACATGCTGCACGACTCGCTGGAGCACGCACAGCTCTTTGACTTGATGAGGAGGATGTTGGAATTCGACCCTTCCCGGAGGATCACGTTCTCGGAAGCCCTCCTGCATCCCTTCTTCGCTGGCCTCTCTGCAGAGGAAAGGATGCTGTGCGGGCGAGGGGCCAGCCGGGACCTGAGCAGATGACAGCTGCATTTGTACATACGGGATTCAGTTCAGCCTCTGTGGTTCGGCCCCAGTTACTCTCTTCCCTCTGAGATCAGAGGGGCCTGGGCACCGCGACAAGGACCCTGGGGAGGGGAAGAAAAGCTACATCAGAAAGCACAGATTTGTCTATTTATATGTTGTAAAGTTAAAATAAAGTGTTTCTTATTGTTTGATACTTCCCTCGTAGGCAGGTGTAGGGTTCTCTCACTCTCAGCTTTGCCTTTTTCTGCAAACGAAGGTGGAGGTGTTGAAACCTTAACTGGAAACAAAGCAGGAAGAATCTTTTCTAGTGTAAAAAGTGAGGGTGAGTGGACTGAGCTCTCCCTGCTCTCTGCCCTCCCTCCAGCTGTGGTGGATAGACAAATAAATAGCTGCACACAAAGAACACACATGAATAGTTGCACTTTATTTCAGGACATCCCCCAGTAGTGGCAGGAATCACAGAATGAGTCGTTACAAACATCAGGTTGCAAATGGAACAGCGAGCAGTGACCCAGTGCAGTGATCTTCATGTGCTGGTGACCAGAGCAGCGCTCACGAGCAGTTCCCATGGTGGGGTCAAGGTTGTGGGTAGAGACAAACAGGTTTAAAAAAAAAAAAGTGATCCATTCTTTCAGTTAACTCTGGCAACATGGGGGAAGGGGAACAAGAAGGGACACAGACCCCTTTGTGGGTCTTGAGTGCTCCAGAGGAGCTCACACTGGCACCGAGGATGCATTTCACGTGGGTGAAGCCAGTACTTCCTCACGTAAGCCTTTGTGGCTGAGGAAAAGTACAGCCAAATACCCAACTCTGTGCTCATCCCCAGAAAGGGCGCACGCTGTCACATTTAACTGCCCGATGCTGCCTCCTGTGCCCTACGCACTGCACAAGTAGGGACTGGAAAGCCCTTTCCTTGTGTGTGGGTTTGCACCCTCCTGGTGTGCAACGCTGCTCACTTGTTTTGTTTAAACATGAGGAACCCTATAACTGCACTTGGTGCTTCCTGGAGCCATGCAGCAGTGAGCACAGACCTGATCCCAGCTGCCAAAACATCTTTTACCCTGCTTTGGTGCCTTTCCGGGCACTTCAGCCAGTGGCACAGCAGTGCAGAGGTTAAAGAAAAGGACCCAGTGCTGAAGCCTTGAAGGAGTCTACACTGCGCAGTGTGAACAAGCTACAGTTTAACAGGCAAACCCAGAAGGGGCAAGAAAAGCCTGCAGCCTGCTTCAAGGAAAGCAGAAATGGAACCAGCAAGTTCTCTTATCAAGTGTCTTGAGCAAGGAAAGTGACAATCAGAGGGCTGGAGAGAACCCTGTACTACAGCAACAACCAAGGGACAGCCACCTTCTCAACCCAGCCGCTGTTCCTCTGCCTGACTAAAGATGAGATGAAGCTGAACCAGCCAAAAAAACACCCTGAGAAAGGCAGAGGGAAGCCTCGCACTTGTATTTCAAATAACCCACCCCATCGCTACCCCTCCCCAGTGCGGCCCAGTCAGAACCACAGCTTCTTAAATGCCACTGCAGTTCGAGCTGGACCAGGGCTCGCCTGAGGAACAGGCGCTTTGGCTTCACCGGTCCCAGGGGAGAGGAACTGCTCGAGGGCAGCCACTCAACCCTCAGCAGGGAAGGAGGTTTGGGGGAGCCAGGGGTCCAGACACCAAGGGGCAGAGCCCTTTGTCCTGCTGAGGTAGATACAGTGAGGTGCAGGCGGTTTGGCAGGGGAGGAGACCTCGGGGGCGAGCCCAGCGCTCGCCAACCTCCCGTCCTTAGGGCCTGGGGCTGCCCCTGTCACTCCACGCTTCCAGGCAATATTAGTTTCTTCCTTTCAGCGTGGGAAGTGTCTTCCCTCCTCCTTTGATACACTTGGCCTCTGTTCTAAGCGGATGAAAGACAATCTGTAAATCCTCACCACCCAGAGCGCAAGTGGGTCAGTGGGTTTGCTAAGTGGGACTCGGCCTGCTGAGGAGAGCCCAGCGACAGCTACATCAGTAGGTGACCGTTTCCACGCATCCCTGCGCTTCGGCCTCAGAAGGGATCCGGTTTCCCTGGAGAAAAAGCAGCCTGAAGCTCTCCCAGCTGCCAGCACAGGGTCTGTGCAAGGATTCGGTCCCTGGGGACAAGGAAGGTACCAGAAGAGCAGCAGAGCTTCAAGCACTGCCCACACTGATGGCATCGGCAGCAAGCAGGGAGCAAGCTCACCTCTACAGCACCTCCTGCATCACTCCAGGCCCAGCTTCGGACACAAAGCCTCCAGAGAGCACGCTGGATTCCCAAAGCCAGCCCACGGATGGCTTCTCAGCTTGGCCCTGCTCTAACCACTGCACCGAGGCTGCATCGGGCTGACAAAATGAACACAGGAAAACAACACCCAATGCTTTCCAGCTGCACTAGAGCAGTTAAAACCACCCAGAGCAGATCCCCTACACTAATTTGGATGAGAACCTCCTGCTGTACCCCTCCGTGAGTGCAGCAGCTCTCACCACGCCATCTCCTGCAGGCAAAGAGGACCCAAGTCCTTCCTCAAGCTGGTTCCCAGCATCCGGGTACCCACACACAAGCCCAAAGGGAATGAACAGATCCATGACCTACTGCCAACCCACACAAAGTGCAGGAGAGATTCTGGCAACACCAGGGGAACGTACCCAAACATCACCTGCACCACACACCACGCAACAAACTCCGAGTGATGCTGCCCCGCTTCACCGTCCTCTCCCTGATTCAGCCACTCGCTGTGCCAGAAAGAAGGAAAGGAAACCAAAACCAAACCAAAACACCAAAACAAACCCAAAACAAATAACTATCCTGGAAAAGTTCTCCTCCAAAACACACCTCACTCCCACAGACCTGGGCTTCGCCCACTAAGCCAACAAACAAAAAGCCAACGGAGTACATAAGTAAGGCTGAGCTAAGCACATCGGTGTTCCCAGAACATGTGTGACCAGAGAGCTTCTGGCCCTTGACACAAGCTCTCCAAAGAGGGAATGCTCTCCTTGAGGGTCCAGGAGGGAGAGCAAGCTACAACCGCCTTCAGGAACACAAAACAGGGGAGGGAGGAGACAAAAAGAACAACGGAACGAACCCAAATCCTCCCACCCGGTGGGACTGCAACAGAAGGTACCTCTACACAGTCAAGGGGTGTGTTCCCATCAGGATGTCCTTGCTGGGTCTACGCGCCCACAAGGACCAAGAAACGCAGCTCCAAGCTCCAAACCACCCGTCACTCGTACCTCCTCCACATACACCCCTCATTAAACAGCCTCCTGGCCGGGCCTGGACAACAGCAGCCACCTTCACCGAGGACAGCCAGCACCTTCCTGCACGTTCCTTCATACAATGGCACAAGAGAATGAAAACGGCTTTGCAGGAACATTCGCTTCCTCCTCTTTTTCTTTTTTTTTTTTTGTTTCATTTTATGATTATTCCTTTTTTTTTTAATAATGTTTCTTCTGGAAAGGAAAACTCCAGAACCTCACATCCTTAAGGCGTCACGAGTTTACAAGTCAGGATCCACTGGACAGCTTATTTGACAGATCTCCTCCTCCTCCTCCTCCTCTCTTCTCTCCCTTCAGAGCCACGCGGCTGGACGGGCTCTAAGTGGAGTGCAGGGGGATGACGAATTTGCAGCCGAAGGGCGAGTGGTAGTTTATTCCCACTTCTTGAAAGACCTTCTGGGGAATGCCAATGTCACAGAGGTACACGCGCCCTGCCCTCTCACCCAGAGGCAGGGGCAGGCCCAAAGCCAGCGACCACTTGGCATCAATGCCCTGCTCCATCTCGTTTATCGGAGGGTCTATGCTGAGGACGGGGGCCCGGTTCTGGTTAGCCCAGTCCACAACTGCTTTGTACCAAGGCTGATCTCTCAAAAAGGCATTTTCGTGACAATCCAGGCAGTTGATCACCAGGTCCACAGGGGTATCTGGGAGATCTGAAAGAAACGCAAACGCCGCTGAGCCCTGATGAGCAGCCTGAAACCATGAACTAAAGCTCAGTGCCCTCCCTCCTTGCATCGCCAGCCCATTTTTTCCCCTCCAGCTCTCCCAGTCTCACTGCATACCCCATGTCTGGCCTTAGCAGTTGCTATTGCTGCCCTGCAAATGACACCAGCACCGATATTTAAAAGTTCTGCGCCCCACTGAGCTCCATCAGCCTCACCTGCCCTGTACCACATCTGCTCACTGCCCTCACTTGATGGACCACAAAATCCTTAAGGCGAGGACTCTTCTTTTGTAACGAGCAGGTAGCTCAGCCAGCACAGCCCTGCACCCCGCCACAACACAAAACCCTGCGCAGCGCCCGAATTCCCAGATTTGTTTCTCCCAAGAAATTTGAATGAAACTTAGGTTTCCTTTCAGGTTTGCAACTACCGCTGCTGCAATGACAAGCAGAAGCCAGCGCTCTCACGGAAGACGACGGAGCATCAGTTTCTTCTCGGGCAAACAAAGAGATCTGAATGTTGACAGCTGCTGGGTCTTGTTCAGCAAAGCTGCCTGCTTGGTTTGAAGCAGCAGTTGACTGCTCATTTACTTGCAGTTTCGCTGTGCCAAACAAGGCAGGCCCTTATGCCAAGAGAACGGCTGCTCTGACTCAGATCCATACAGCAGCTCTTCCGTATTTGTTCATACCGGAAGCATCTGTGCCATTACAAGTGCTCCACTGTTAAACCTCTCTCTTGAGTCTACGCTGTCCCACCAGACACCGATGGCAGTGCCACTAGATGGTGCCACCAGACTGGGCAGGCACCGGGGAGCTGAGCAGCACAGGTCTGCGAGCAGAACTGCCCAGATCTGCTCCTTCCTCACCTTTGACACTGGACACTTGCTGGCCTTGCGTCTTGCTGAAAAGGTTCAGCTCATTGGTGATGGATTCCAGCATCTTAACAAAGTTGGGTAGAAAAAGGATGACGTGGACATCGTGGTTGGAGAGGTGCCGTCCACAGCTGATGCCCTGGGCCCCCTTCACGTGGGGGCCGCACAGCAGGGCTACCGTGGGCCGCTGATGCACGTTCTTCGGGTTCAGCCTAAAACACAGACAAAAGGGGCTTGTTAATCACAGAATGTTAGGAGTTGGAAGGG